TATGATGTGCTACTATTTAAGAGCAACTGTAATTGGGTAAATGAGAGCTAGCACTAGAGAAAGAGGAATAAATATCAATGGTTGAGTATAGAATGTGATCATTAGGAGCACTAGATAGTGATATTAGCAGTAAATTTTTTTTTAATTTTTCACACTAACTTTTTAGTAAATTGCACATGGGGAAAACAATAAAATATGTATATTTCTTGCTTTATTTTTAGTTTTATTACAGAATGTCTTTCGTTTTGATGTACACATTAAAACCAGTAAGGGTATTTTAAATGACTTGAATACCTAGATTACACTGTATTTTGTTAAGTGATATGTCAATTATTCTTACCTATCTTATGCTGGAGCGAGATTTTGTAAGATGGATAGAATTGTTGGTCTTGATTAGTCAATAAGTCTTCATGACCATCAGTTTTCCCCAGTAAGTCTTAGACACCAATCTATAATTTAAGTAATTACTATGGAATTAGCTTGATTGCTTAGCCAAGAAACTCTTTTAGCCAGTTACTAACAAAAACAACAACAGGATATAACTCCTTATTTTTATTTCAGAAGTAGCAATTAAATTTAGCAAATGACAGATTAAATTCTTTTATTACATGATCAATGCTAAAGCTGAGACCCTATTACAGATGACATTGAACTAGTATTTCCCAGATAAACATAGAGTTAAAGTAAGAAATTTCCTGTAAATAAAAACAAGGTATTTTACATTGTTTTCAAAGAAAATATTTTCATTCAGAAGTATTACATTTACTAAGGGATATCCTTATTTATACTTTTTACCTGAAGTCACATGACTATATATTTGGTTGGTGTTTCATTTGGAAACATTTTAGGGTGTCATTTCCTAGTTTTGATATTGGTTGACTGCATGATGAATATGGAGGAAAGTGTGTCCTGAATTTCCTTAGAACCATGGGAGAAGAAAGTTGACTAAACTATGTAGATATCTTTTTTCTATATACATATTTTTGTATTTGATGCACTCCTAATTATGTCAAGAACCAACATTTCCATTGTTATAAAAGCTTATTTTTCCTGTCTAAATAAGTTTTCTCAGAAGGGTGGACTAAAGAGCCTAGACAGGGTTGAAATTCTATCCTGTCCTAGAATGGTCAGTGTGAAGTAGCAAGTGAAAAATTGATTAGGTTGGTTTCAGACTGGCCATAGTATTTTAATTCAGGACTGGCTAGGGAGGCAAGGGATGATGTATTTGCTGTGGTTGTAGGGTAGAAAATTCATTATTATACAGACATGCAAAGAATGTGTGTGGCTTTTTATTTATCTATAACTGATAAAATTGTCCTGAGCCCTCAATTTACTCTCAGGAGTAACTGTGGTAGGGATCAAAACTTCAGTTTACCATTCATTGTGTACATCATTTTCTCTCAGTTTACACAATTCCTTTCTAGTTAAAAACAATTTGATTAGGTAAACATTTCGTCAATTAAATAACCCACTCGTTCTCAGGAATATTTGTCCTGTGCCTGCCCCCTTCATAAGAGGGAATCTGGATGAGGGGAAAGTTTAGGATCCATCAGATGTGTGGAGTGCCTCATGATGGTTTTTGTGTTGGTCTGACTCTTGGATTTACAATGGTTGATACTGATAACCACTGACTTGTGCTCAATCTGGTCCAGTCCATGAGAGTCTTGCTAGTGTTCATCATTGAAATCTATGGCTAAGAAATTATGGTTTGTTTATCTTGACTAAACCAGAACTTAATTGTTTCCCCTCAATTATGTACTATCTTGATCCTAGATGGCACTACAGATCCCCTATTTCTTCTGGGTGTGTCTCCCACACCCATTTGTGAGTCTCCCACATGCTTTCTGGTTGGTCTGGTCTGCCTGCACTGAAGTTTTTTATTCTAGGAGTGCTTTGATTTCCTCATTGTAACCACTTTTTAAACCACTTCCCTCCAGTGCTTGAGCACTGTTCTACAACTCTCCTCTCCCTGCCGCAGTATCAGTGTGAAGATGGTCTCAGGGTATGCAGCGGGAGATGGGCCAAAGCTCCTGCTTCTGGCTTTCCTTTCAACTTAATTAATATCCCACTTCCTGTGATGTTAACCATGAGAGGTGTGGGCAGAAAACACACATCCAACGGGTTGTTTTCTCTGCCTCTCTTCCTTCCCAATATCACCTTTCCTGGAAGAGAAAGGCTTTCTGCTCCTTCCTTTCTGAAAGAAATTTGCTGATGCCAGATCATAGATTTCCTCTTCCCTGTGGTATATAATAAAATCTTGACAGCCAGTTTGCACAACCTTGTTCTTAATATATTAATGGGAGCTGAAGAAATTTGGAAAATATTTTGCTTCTTTCGATACTCAAGCCTATCGACTAGCTGAAAAATTACACTTTGGTTTTCAAAAGCTGAACGTTTTCTTGTTTTTGGATTCCTACTGTAATCCTCATAACTATTCTGGAGGTGAATGGATGGCTCCAAAATGATTTGTTTATTCTTTCATAAAGCAAAAAAATTATTGACCATATGTTATGTGCTCAGCACAGTTTCAGGTGCTTGTATGCTAGTGGCAGAGGTGGACAATAAATGAGAGAGATAGGGAAGGTATTAGAAAGTGATAAATGCTATGGAGAAGAATAAAGCAGAGAAAGACAAGTAGAATTGTTGGGTGGGGAAGCTGTGCTATTCTCCATAGTGAGGGAAAGGTCTCATTGAGAAAGTGACTGCTGAGAAAAATCTGAAGGAACAGAAGGAGTTAGTCATCTGATATGTGGGGAAAAATAGCAAGTTCAAAGGCTTAAGAGCAGGTAGTGTGTCTGCTTGGAACAAGAAAGTAGTAGGAGATGAGGCACAGAGATAATGAGCAGTTAGAATATAGAGGGCCTTGTAAGTCAGAGTTGGACTTTGATTTTTACTCAGGGTGGGTCAGGAAGCCATTGGAGGTTTTTAAGTGAGTAATGACATGATCTGAAGCAAGTTTTTAACAGTCTGTAGGAGAGTAAGCAAGAAAAGGAGACCATTGGAAGTTATTGCTATAATACAGATGAGGGATGATGGTGTCTTAAACCAAGCCTCTGGCTGTGAAGAAGTGGCTAAATTCTGGCTATATTTTGAAATTAGAGACATCGGAATTTGATTACAAACCAGATATAGAAAGTAAGAGAAAGAAAAGAATCATGGCACTGAAAACTTGAAAAATGGAATTGTACTCAACTAAAAGTAAAATGAGCACATTTGAAGTAAGGGGGTGGGTGGATATCCGGAGCTTAATTTTGGACATGATATGTTTGAAATGTCTATTAGACATCCATGAGAAGATGTTAAGTCATTAGCAGTTTGATCTATGGGTCAGCTATCCAAGAGAGAAGTTAGGTTGGATGTGTACATTCTTTACATCATTACCATATAGTCTTTTTTACCTAAGAGTAATAAAAGCTTGCCTTACTTGAGAGGAAAGAAACAAAAACAGTAAATTCAAAGAAGTTAATGGAATGCCTGAAAACCAAACCAAAAGTTCTAACTAATCGTAGATTTTAATAAACGCTTTAAACCTCTCTCCAACTAGAGATGTTTAAGTAAAAAGATTAGAGAAGGAACTTATTCAACAGTTCTTAATAATTGACAGTATTCAGATTATTTTTAAGTTTCAGTTATCTGCGTGACTTGTTCCTTCACCTTCTTCAAATCTTTGCTCAATTATTTCCCTCTTTTTTTTAATTTTTATTTTTTTTAAGATTTTATTTATTTGCGAGAGAGAGAATGAGAGACAGAGAGCATGAGAGGGAGGAGGGTCAGAGGGAGAAGCAGGCTCCCTGCTGAGCAGGGAGCCCGATGAGGGACTCGATCCAGGGACTCCAGGATCATGACCTGAGCTGAAGGCAGTCACTTAACCAACTGAGCCACCCAGGCGCCCAATTATTTCCCTCTTAATGAGGCAAGGCTGACCACTGTATTTAGATTTCAGCCTAGTTCCTTTACTATCCTCATTCCAAATCTCCTTAAACTGCTTTATTTTGTTTTTTGTTTATCAATAGCATTTGTCACTTTCTTAATATTATGTGATTTACTTACGTTTGTTCATTATTACATGGTTTAGCTTGTATATGGCTTTCAATCCTGCTGGCCTCACCTATGATTCTGGGTTTGGCAGAGGTCAGCTGGTTCCCTGAGGGCTTTGACAAACTTCATGAGGTTGCAGCCTCACTCAGGCATGTAGTGCCGTACCTCAGACTCACATCGTAAAGTCCTGTCTTAGGGCTTCTCTGACAGGGCAGACTGCCTTTAGGAAACTGCGGGGTACAAAATTAGTGTAACCTGAAGGTGGGGGGACTTGATCCTGCAGGACTATTCTTGGCCAAGGGAAGCGGGTGTGTTATTCCCTCAGGCAGATGTTCCTGGATACTTTGTACAAAGTATCCCGTTGGTTATAGAATAAGAGTGGCAGTCAATTTATTGCATCCAATAATTGATTCTTCCACCATCCTTCTTTTATTCTCCCTGTCCCTAACTTTTGTCCACTGAGATCATACTTCTAAATTATCCACTTATACTTACATAAGTCTTGGTTACAGGCTCTACTTTATGGAGAATTCAGGCACATAATTTTTTTTTTCCTTCTACCGCTTCAGCTGCCTGAAGGTAGCTGATACATCCTAAGCATCCAGAAGATTGTCTGGCATCTGACAAGCTCTCAACAGATATGTACTTAATTGAATTGAAAGTAATTTGGTTCTTTTTTTTTTTAAGATTTTATTTATTTATTTGAGAGAGAGAGAATGAGAGAGAGCGAGTACATGAGAGGGGGGAGGGTCAGAGGGAGAAGCAGACTCCCTGCCGAGCAGGGAGCCCGATGCGGGACTCGATCCAGGGACTCCAGGATCATGACCTGAGCTGAAGGCAGTCGCTTAACCAACTGAGCCACCCAGGCACCCGAAAGTAATTTGGTTCTTTAATCACTAAATCAGGTAAGGATTAGGAATTTGTGATTTTTTAAAAAAGATTTTTATTTATCCATTTTTCAGAGAGAAAGAGAGAGAGCACAAGCAGCGGAAGCAGCAGGCAGAAGGAGAAGGCTCCCCACTGAGCAAGGAGCCCAACGTGGGACTCAATCCCAGGACCCCAGGATCATGACCTGAGCCAAACGCAGACACCCAACCAATTGAGCCACCCAGGTGTCCCAGGAATTTGTGATTTCAATGCCAAAGTGAAACTATTGAAATGATACATTACCTAATAGTCGTTGAACTACGCCACAGGAAAGTTCAAATAGGTATGGCAACAGAGGGTAGGTGTTAAAGGACCTGTATTTAGAAGGCATATTGCTTGGGATGTGTGTTACCTGTTATATGTGTACATTTGAAAAATTCTTTAAACTCTCTGTATTGTAATTACCTCATCTCTAAAATGGGGATAATTATCTACAGTTCAAAATGTTGTGAAGATTAAATGAGTTGATATAGAGAGAACAGGGGTGCCTGGGTGGCTTAGTTGGCTTAGTGGCCGAATCTTGATTTTGATTTCGGTTCAGGTCATGATCTCGGGGTCCTGGAATTGAGCCCCGCTTTGGGCTCATGCTCCATGGGGAGTCTGCTTGAGGACTCTCTCTCTCCCTCTCCCTCTTCCCCTCCCCCCACTTGCACACAATCTCTCTCTAAAATAAATAAATAAATCTTAAAATATATATATGTAGGACATACAAGCCATGCAGTAACATGTTCGATTATATAAGACATACATGTTTGCAATTATTATTATTGTTGTTGCTGTTGTTATTGATTCCCACCACACATATTATGGAGACCCAGCATCAAATGAAAATAAGTGGACATCCCCAGACTTCAAGTAAATCTAACCAAAGTTTTCTTATCATTTTCTTATATTTTGCTTGTTTTTAGTTACAATTAGTATTTAGTAAACATTTAAGCGATATAGAAATATATAAAGTTCCACAATATGTTCCATTACCACAGCCCTACTGAAGTTCCATTTTATTCAAGTATAGCTTCATTTGTTTGCTAATAATGTCAGCCCAATTTATAAATGAATTAACCAATTCATGATAAATATTATCATCATAATAAATACTATATACTAATCTATCCTTAGGGCCCCAATGCAAGGTTCAGACAACTTATTTTGCCACCGTGAAGCTTATGGACAAAACATCAAACTAAATCTCAGAATCCTGAAATTTTATCATTTGTGAAATAGAGATTGCCATGCCTACCCCATCATGTTTGAGGGGGAATTGAACATCATAATATTCATGAAGGTGGCTGGCACAGGCTCTGCCATGTAGTTGAAGATCAATAGCACTAATTGAAATCAATCCTAATTGGAATAGCACTAATTAGAATCCCATCCATACCCCCTACTTCTCTGAGCTTGTTGCTGTGATTTTCTTAAGAAGATTTGAACACAAAGTTTTAGCCCAACAAATGTCTCATTAGTACTTGGTGAACAGAACTCACTTTCATGAAAATAAATGTTCCAGAGATGGGTGTTAGAGATTGAAACCTTTTCATTAACCATAACAGCACCAGTTACAGAGTTATTTCAGCTGCCTTTCAATTTGTAATTTAATTCAGTAAGTCACAATGAGAATTACTAAAAAGCAACCTAATCTGAGTTCTTTAAATTCTTTTAACTTGGCATTATATACTGAGCAAATGGATTTATTAAGAAAGCTGCTTATAAGGCATGATATCCTGATTCAGATACTAACCTGTGATTTTTAAAGCTTAAACATAATACATGCTGAGTGTGATTTTTAAGGTAATAAAGATAAGGTAATGAATGGAACACTAGACTTTGTGTTAAAAAATTAATCTCTAACTGGATGACCTGGACTTGATCTTTACTTTTTAAGTCTATAAAATGTGTGGTTATGGGGATGTAAAAGGAGATTATAATAGACATCTCCTATTTTCTTGACTGGTGTTTTTGCCAAAAAAAAAAAAAAACTCTACAAGGAAAGTCTTACATACAGTCAAGACATTATTACTTTAGGAATTGGGAACCTCTGGTTGGAGGAGCAAGATGGTGGAGGAGTAGGAGACCTAAATTTCCTCTGGTCCCAAGAATTCAACTTAGATAGGGATCAAGCCATTCTGAACACCTACGGATTCAACAGGAGATCGAAGAAAAGAATAGCAGCAACTCTCTGAACAGAAAAGAGACCACTTTCTGGAAGGTAGGACGTGTGGAGAAGTGAATCTAAGGCGATATTCAGGAAGATAGACGGTGGGGGAGGGGGCCTCCATCAGCCGCTACCAGCAAGTGATAGAGCAGCAGAACACAAAATTGGAACTTTTAGAAGTCGGTTCTGCTGAGGGACGTACTCCAGTAGCTAAGTGGGGGGTGGAACCCTCGCTGGGACAGTGTGGTCTCAGGACCCTTGGGGTCACAGGAAGACCGGGGGTGCCTGGGTGCGGCAGAGCTCCCAGGGATCAGAGTGGGGAAGCCGGCTGCAGAGAAGGAGCCGAGGAGTGGGCTCTCAGCTCGGGGTTGCCATAAACCATGATCCAGGGCACAGTCGGGCCACTGCTCCTCCAGCAGGGACCCAACAAGTGGCAGATCCGGGGAGACTCCCCTTTCTCCCCTGGGAGAAGCGGCACGGGAGTGCACCGTGGGGATCTGCTGGGTTTGGAGGCTCCACACGGAGTCAGGTGCCAGAGATAGAAACGCTCGGTGACAGGCCGGGTGAGCACGGAGGGCAGCCGGAGACTGGGGAAACGGGAGTGATTGACTGCTTTTCTCTGAGGGCTCACTGGGGAGTGGGGCCCCTAGTTCTTGGCTCTTCCAGGGCGGAGATTGGGAGGCCGCTGTTTTCACTCTCATCCTCCAAAGCTGTACGGAAAGCTTGCAGGGAACAAAAGCTCCAGAGAGCAAACCCGAGCAGATTACTTAGCCTGGACCTGGCAAGGGTGGGGCAATTCCACCTCCAGCAAAGACCTCTGAGAACCACTGCGACAGACCCCTCTCCCAGAAGATAGCAAGAACAGCCAGCCAAGACCAATACCAATCAATGAGAATGGCAGAACTCCAGCCCTAGGGAATACTGCACATAGAATTCACGGCTTTTTTCCCATGATTCTTTAGTCTTTCAAAGTTAATTTCTTTTTTTTTTTTAACTTTCTTTTTCTTTCTTTTTTTTTTTGAATTTTTCCTTTTCCCTTTTTCAGCCAACATCTTATCAATCCCTTTTCTAAAAATCTTTTTTATTTTTCATTTTTAGAGTTATATTCTATCCCTTCATAGTAGTTAACCTTATTTTTGGTATATATATATATAAGTTGTTCTCTCTTTAAAATTTTGGGATACAGTTTCTTCTAACAGATCAAAATATACCCTAAATCTCTAGTGTATGGCTTTGTTCCAGTCTCCTGCCTGATCACATTCTCTCCCTTTTTTTTTTTAATCCTCTTCTTTCTTTTTTCAACCAACTTCTTATCGTATCAATTCCTTTTATAAAATCTTTTATAATTTTCATCTTTACAGTCATATTCCATCCCTTCATCGTCTTTACCCTTATTTTTGTACATATAAGTTTTTCTTTCTTTAAAATTTTGGGAGGCACTTTCTTCTAACAGACCAAAATACGCCCAAAATGTAGTGTGTGGCACTGATCTATGCACCAGCCTGATCATATTTGATCATATTCTGTTTTTTTATTGTTTGTTTGTTTGTTTTTATCTTTATCTTTTTCTTTTTTCTTTCTTTCCCTTTCTTTTCGCCTCTTTTTTTTCAGGTCTCTTCTGATTTGTTTAGTGTATATATTTCTGGGGTCGTTGTTACCCTGTTAGCATTTTGTTCTCTCATTCATCTATTCTCCTCTGGACAAAATGACAAGACAGAAAAAAATCACCTCAAGAAAAAGAACAAGAGGCAGTACCAACTGCCAGGGACCTAATCAATATGGACATTAGTAAGATGTTGGAACTAGAGTTCAGAATGACGATTTTAAATATACTAGCTGGGCTTGAAAAAATCATGGAAGATATTAGAGAAACCCTTTCTGGAGAAATAAAAGAACTAAAATCTAACCAAGTCGAAATCAAAAAGGCTATTAATGAGGTGCAATCAAAAATGGAGGCTCTAACTGCTAAGATAAATGAGGCAGAAGAGTGTATTAGTGATATAGAAGACCAAATGATAGAAAATAAAGAAGCTGAGAAAAAGAGAGCTAAACAACTACTGGATCACGAGGGCAGAATTTGAGAGATAAGGGATACCCTAAGACAAAACAACATTAGAATAATTGGGATCCCAGAAGAAGAAGAAAGAGAGAGAGGGGCAGAAGGTATATTGGAGCAAATTATAGCAGAGAACTTCCTGAATTTGGGGAAGGAAACAGGCATCAAAATCCAGGAGGCACAGAGAACCCCCCCTCAAAATCAATAAAAATAGGTCAACACCCCGACATCTAATAGTAAAACTTACGAGTCTCAGCGACAGAGAAAATCCTGAGAGCAGCTGGGGAGAAGAGATCTGTAACCTACAATGGTAGAAACATTAGATTGACAACAGACCTATCCACAGAGGCCTGGCAGGCCAGAAAGGACTGGCATGTTATCTTCAGAGCACTAAATGAGAAAAATATGCAGCCAAGAATACTATATTCAGCTAAGCTATGATAGAAAATAGGAGAGATAAAAAGCCTCCAGGACAAACAAAAACTAAAGGAATTTGCAAACACAAAATCAGCTCTACAAGAAATATTGAAAGGGGTCCTCTAAGCAAAGAGAGAGCCTAAAAGTAACATCGACCAGAAAGGAACACAGACAATATACAGTAACAGTCACCTTAGAGGCAATACAATGGCACTAAATTCATATCTTTCAATAGTTACCCTGAATGTAAATGGGCTAAATGCCCCAATCAAAAGACACAGGGTATCAGACTGGATAAAAAAAACAAGACCCATCGATATGCTGTCTGCAAGAGACTCATTTTAGACCCAAAGACACCTCCAGATTGAAAGTGAGGGAGTGGAAAACCATTTACCATGCTAATGGACACCACAAGAAAGCTGGGTGGCAATCCTTATATCAGACAAATTAGATTTTAAACCAAAGACTATAATAAGAGTTGAGAAAGGGCACTACATCATACTTAAAGGATCTATCCAACAAGAATATCTAACAGTTGTAAATATCTATGCCCCTAACATGGGAGCAGCCAAGTATATAAGCCAATTAATAACAAAAGCAAAGAAACACATCGACAACAATACAGTAATAGTGGGGGACTTTAACACCCCCCTCATTGAAATGGACAGATCGGGCCGCCTGGGTGGCTCAGTTGGTTAAGCGACTGCCTTCGGCTCAGGTCATGATCCTGGAGTCCCTGGATCGAGTCCCGCATCGGGCTCCCTGTTCGGCAGGGAGTCTGCTTCTCCCTCTCACCCTCCTCCCTCTCATGCTCTCTGTCTCTCATTCTCTCTGTCTCAAATAAATAAATAAATAAATCTTTAAAAAAAAAAAAAAAAGAAATGGACAGATCGTCTAAGCAAAAGATCAACAAGGAAATAAAGACTTTAAATGACACACTGGACCAAACAGACTTCACAGATCTATTCAGAACATTCCATCCCAAAGCAACAGAATACACATTCTTCTCTAGTGCCCATGGAACATTCTCCAGAATAGATCACATCCTAGGTCACAAATCAGGTCTTAACCGGTACCAAAAGATTGGGAACATTCCCTGCATATTTTCAGACCACAATGCTTTGAAACTACAACTCAAACACAAGAAGTAAGTCGGAAAGAGCTCAAATACGTGGAGGCTAAAGAGCATCCTACTAAAGAACGAATGGGACAACCAGGAAATTAAAGAGGAATTTAAAAATTCATGGAAAGAAATGAAAATGAAAACACAACTGTTCAAAGTCTTTGGGCTGCAGCAAAGGTGGTCCTAAGAGGAAAGTATATAGCAGTACAAGCCTTTCTCAAGAAATAAGAAAGGTCTCAAATACACAACCTAACCCTACACCTAAAGGAGCTGGAGAAAGAACAGCAAATAAAGCCTAAACCCAGCAGGAGAAGAGAAATCATAAAGATCAGAGCAGAAATCAATGAAATAGAAACCAAAAGAACAGAAGAACAGATCAACGAAACTAGGAGCTGGTTCTTTGAAAGAATTAACAAGCTTGATAAACCCCTGGCCAGACTTATCAAAAAGAAAAGAGAAATGACCCAAATAAATAAAATCATGAATGAAAGAGGAGAGATCACAACCAACACCAAAGAAATACAAACAATTATAGGAACATATTATGAGCAACTCTATGCCAGCAAATTAGATAATCTGGAAGAAATGGATGTATTCCTAGAGATGTATCAACTACCAAAACTGAACCAGGAAGAAACAGAAAACCTGAACAGACCTATAACCACTAAGGAAATTGAAGCAGTCATCAAAAATCTCCCAACAAACAATAGCCCAGGGCCAGATGGCTTCCCAGGGGAATTCTTCCAAACATTTCAAGAAGAATTAATACCTATTCTTCTGAAACTGTTCCAAAAAATAGAAATGGAAGGAAAACTTCCAAACTCATTTTATGAGGCCACCATTACCTTGATCCCAAAACCAGACAAAGACCCCATCAAAAAGGAGAATTACAGACCAATATCCTTGATGAACATGGATGCAAAAATTCTCACCAAAATACTACCCAACAGGATCCAACAGTACATTAAAAGGATTATTCACCACAACCAAGTGGGATTTATCCCTGGGCTGCAAGATTGGTTCAACATCCGCAAATCAATCAATGTGATACAATAAATTAATAAAAGAAAGAACAAGAACCATATGATCCTCTCAATAGATGCAGAAAAACATTTGACAAAGTACAGCATCCTTTCTTGATCAAAACTCTTCAGAGTATAGGCATAGAGGGTACATACCTCAATATCATAAAAGCCATCTATGAAAAACCCACAGCGAATATCATTCTCAATGGGGAAAAACTGAGAGCTTTCCCCCTAAGGTCAAGAACACAGCAGGGATGTCCACTATCACCACTGCTATTCAACATAGTATTAGAAGTCCAAGCCACAGCAATCAGACAACAAAAAAAAATAAAAGGCATCCAAATCAGCAAAGAAGGAACCAAATTCTCATTCTTTGCAGATGATATGATACTTTATCTGGAAAACCCCAAAGACTCCACCCCAAAACTGCTAGAACTCATACAGAAATTCAGAAAAGTGGCAGGATATAAAATCAGTGCACAGAAATCAGTGGCATTCCTATACACCAACAACAAGACAGAAGAAAGAGAAATTAAGGAGTTGATCCCATTTACAACTGCACCCAAAACCATAAGATACCTAGGAATAAATCTATCCAAAGAGGAAAAGTGTCTGTACTCAGAAAACTATAAAATACTCATGAAAGAAATTGAGGAAGACATAAAAAGATGGAAAAATGTTCCATGAGCATGGATTGGAAGAACAAATATTGTGAAGATGTCAGTGCTACCTAGAGCAATCTACACATTCAATGCAATCCCCATCAAAATACCATCCAGTTTTTTCAAAGAAATGGAACAAATAATCCTAAAATTTGTATGGAACCAGAAAAGACCCCGAATAGCCAGAGGAATGTTGAAAAAGAAAAGCAAAGCTGGTGGCATCACCATTCCGGATTTCAAGCTCTATTACAAAGCTGTAATCATGAAGACAGTATGGTACTGGCACAAAAACAGACACATAGATCAGTGGAACAGAATAGAGAGCCCAGAAATGGATCCTCAACTCTATGGTCAACTAATCTTTGACAAAGCAGGAAAAAATGTCCAATGGAAAAAAGACTGCCTCTTCAACAAATGGTGTTGGGAAAATTGGACAGCCACATGCAAAAGAATGAAACTGGACCATTTCCTTACACCAAACACAAAAATAGACTCCAAATGGTTGAAAGACCTAAATGTGAGACAGGAGTCCATCAAAATCCCAAAGGAGAACACAGGCGGCAACCTCTTTGACCTCAGCCACAGCAACTTCTTCCTAGACACATCACCAAAGGCAAGGGAAGCAAGGGCAAAAATGAACTATTGGGACTTCATCAAGATAAAAAGCTTTTGCACAGCAAAAAAAAAAAAAACAAAAACAAAAAAAACAGTCAACAAAACCAAAAGACAACTGACAGACTGGGAGAAGATATTTGCAAATAACATATCAGATAAAGGGCTAGGATCCAAAATCTATAAAGAACTTACCAAACTCAACACCCAAAGAACAAATGATCCAGTCAGGAAATGGGCAGAAGACATTAACAGACATTTTTCCAAAGAAGACATCCAAATGGCCAACAGACACATAAGTGCTCAACATCACTCAGCATCAGGGAAATCCAAATCAAAGCCTCAATGAGATACCTCCTCACACCAGTCAGAATGCCTAAAATTAATAAGTCAGGAAACAACAGATGTTGGCGGGGATGCCGAGAAAGAGGAACCCTCCTACACTGTTGGTGGGAATGCCAGCTGGTGCAGCCACTCTGGAAAACAGTATGGAGGTTCCTTAAAAAGTTGAAAATAGGGCTACCATACGACTCAGCAATTGCACTGCTTAGTATTTACTCCAAAGATACAAATGTAGGGATCCGAAGGGGTACGTGCACCCCGATGTTTATAGCAGCAATGTCCACAATAGCCAAACTGTGGAAAGAGCCAAGATGTCCAACGATAGATGAATGGATAAAAAAGATGTAGTATATATATACAATGGAATATTATGCAGCCATCAAAAGGAATGAAATCTTTCCAGTTGCAACGATGTGGATGGAACTGGAGGGTATTATGCTGAGCGAAATAAGTCAATCAGAGAAAGACATGTATCATATGACCTCACTGATATGAGGAATACTTAATCTCAGGAAACAAACTGAGGGTTGCTGGAGTCGTGAGGGGTGGGAGGGATGGGTTGGCTGGGTTGATAGATATTGGGGAGGGTATGTGCTATGGTGAGTGCTGTGAATTGTGTAAGACTGTTGAATCGCAGATATGTACCTCTTAAACAAATAATACATTATATGTTAAAAAAAAGAAGATAGCAGGAGGGGAATAATGAAGGGGGGGAATTGGAGGAGGAGATGAACCATGAGAGACTATGGACTCTGAGAAACAAACTGAGGCTTCTAGAGGGGAGGGGGCTGGGCGGATGGGTTATCCTGGTGATGAGGAGGGCACGTATTGAATGGAGCACTGGGTGTTATATGCAAACAATGAATCATGGAACACTACATCAAAAACTAATGATGTAATGTATGGTGATTAACATAACATAAAAAAAAAAGGAGTTGGGAACCTCAAGTGAGATGCAAACTAGCAGAGTACCTCCATGAATATGAAGGAGGAAAGAGGACTGCTTAGTTTCATTGCAGATAGCTACCAACTTGAAGATGTGCTACAAACAGTCTTTTTTTTTCTATTATAAGGTGATTTATGAATATTATTATATACCCAGCTTAGCACTTTTACGCTTTTAGGTTAAGTGCCATAAACTCATGGGATCTGTAACCTCACTTGTAATAAAATTCAGGAAGATGAGAAAAACATGACTTCCAATCATTCAGCCCTCTAATATGAATTTATTTACAATCATAATCAAATTGTACCTTTTTACATCAGGGCTGATTAAGTGCCTGAGGCAGAACAGGTACCAAATTAAATACTGTAGTAAATTCCAGTGACTTCATTTAGGGAGAAATGATTATCTCTAAAGCAAACCAAAATACTAGAAGAAAACACATAATGTTTTTGAAAGAGGTTTCTGAAGTTTGAAACAAACTAGAATTTTACTTGAAATAATGATGAATAATTACTGAAAAGATTTCTGTATAAAAGCTTTCACTAAAAGCATTTTCAGAATAATTCTTCAAAAATATGATCCTAGAATCTAATTATCCCTTTCTGCAAACTTAAGAATGTATTTAGATGATTTAAGGCTACAATGTTAAAATCTAAATGACCCCAAATCCCAGAAATGGAGATGAAAGTACCGTATTAAGTCTAAACGGTTTGGGATGATCATTTTTCAAAGGTGTTTCCTGCCCAGTTTTAAATGCCAGGTGCCAAAAATGATAAGCAAACAGTTCTGTCAATAGACCACTTATGTTCCTTACTCTCTTCTTCTCAAAGTGACAAAGTGCCTTGATTCCAGCAGCGATTCCCCCGTCTGCTTTCGCCTTGGGTTTCCATTGTGACCATTAACTGCTGAAACTGAGCCCAGAGCCCTTGATCACAAGATCTGAACGTTGCAAGGGATCCTAAAGAGGTAAATTAACTCATCCCTGTGCCTCTAGGAAGGGAAAACTGTGCCCAAATACTTCCAGAGGAATAATTTTGCATCCTAATGAGAGTGAAGGACTAAGTAGTGGGAATTTCCTTCAGAAACTTGTTTGCGTACTTTTGGACTATTTCTATGCTAATGTCGTTGCAACAGCAAGTAAATGTTCTAAAGTGTGCAGGGGCGGTGCCTCCCCACACAGCCAGATTAGCACATGACTCGGCTTAGGCATCTAGCTGTTACAGATTCATTAATTTGCCTGAGAAATTCCTTCTATGGATTAAACAACCCCTTGCAATATAACCATTTTTATACATCTTATTTTACATGACTAAATCTTTCTACTCTCAGTATTTTTCCATCTCTCCCCTCCCTTCAACTTCCCTCTCCATTCTTTCCTTCCACTTTTTTAAATGTGGTCCTCTTTCTCCCTGGCCTCCTCTCTACCCTCCACCCTGGGTAATGACACCACTAAGCTTGAAATTTTAGCTCATTACCTTGGCACCATCTTTTCCCTGACCTTTCTGTTGGATGCCAGACCTATTCTGTTGGATGCCAAATTCTATAATTAATGCTTTAAAAATGACTCCTGAATCAGTTCCTCTTTTCCATTCTGTTGCTGCTGTCTCACTTCAGGCTCTTATTTTATTTGGCTTGGATATAAATTAATTTCCTTACCCTTCTCCTTGCTTTGGTTTCCCTCCAGCTCCCAAGTATATCTTATGCACTGCTGTCAAAGTGGTCAGCATGAAGCACAGCTTGCACTTAATCCTGCATTGAAACCTTCACTGCTTCCACATTATCTGCCAAGGCATCCATACCCCTTGACCTGGCTCTTATACCCCTGTTCTGCCCCACTACCTGCCAACACTCAGCGTATGACCCAGTTGCAACCTAACTTTCAAGCGTTACCATTCACTTTTTCCCTTTCACATGGGTGACAGTCTTCCTGAACTATATAAAATTTCCTGAACACACTTTAAACTTTCTTACATATTTTTTTCTAATTCCATGTGTTTGCATTCTTGTTTCCTTCATCTAAAATTTTATTCTTCTAATATTTACCTATTGAAACCTGACTCCTCCTTCAATTCCTAACCAACCAACAAACAAACAAATTAACCAAACAGTAACAGCAGTCACACTTTATCATACTCTCCTAACTTGTCAGGACTATATTGAACATCCTGAATACATAGTCCCTGATCCCCACCCAAACACATACTAGGAAGATATTATTATAACCATTTCACAGGTAAGGAAACTGCCATACAGAAATGTTAGTGATTTTTATCCTAGGCTGCATAGTTAATGAGTGGGATGTTGGCGCATCCGGGGAGTTACCAACTTAATATTCTTTCTTCCTTTTTTTCTGTAGCAGAACCCTGATTTTTATTTTTTTGGAAGGGTTATTAACAGTGTGATCAGCTAAAACAAGAAGAAAGCAAAAAGTACATATCTCAATCTTCCTGATAACATGGAGCAAGCCTTTTTTTGTTTTTCTTTAGAGAGCGTGAGAGTGCACACGCGAGCTGGGGCCGGGGGTGGAGGGAGTGGGGCGGGACAGAGGCAGAGGGAGAGAGGCAATCCTGCGGAGCCCGATGTGGAGTTCAGTCTCCTGACCCTGAGATCAGAACCCTGAGATCATGACCTGAGCTGAAATCAAGAGTCAGATGCTTAAATGAATGAACAGCCCAGGTGCCCTAAGGACTGAAGTCTTTCCACATACTTCTAGCCAAGGATACCTAAATGGTAGTCTGCCGGGGGTTTGGGCAACATTTTCTTGTCTCTTCCATGGCTCATTCTTTCTCCTTGTCCTTTAGAAAGCCGGCTGAGATGGAACACTGGAACACTAAGAAAGGCAGAGCAGAGAGATGAAAGAGCCTGGGATGTTGCCGGCTCTTTCCCTCTCCATTCTTTGCACTGACACCTGTCCGGAAATTGTTGTTGGGTAAAAAGATGAACGTTTAATTCAGTTAACTTATACATTGGGTTTTCGGTTGTTTCTACCTGAGCACAATCTCCAACTGGTGCATGATGGAAGTGTGTTTCACACCTATATTGTGTCGCCTGGATTCTTTGGATTACATCATCACCGGCCCTGTCATGATACACATTAAACCTTACCTCAATCCCCAGCTCAGAAATAAAATTTTCTTCCTTCTGTATGCCCGTTAAATTCTGAGCTACTTGTAGGCCTTTATTATTTCCTCTTTTATTTGGAATTTTTTTTTAAAGATTTTATTTATTTGACAGAGAGAGAGACACAGCGAGAGGGGGAACACAAACAGGGGGAGTGGGAGAGGGAGAAGCAGGCTTCCCGCGGAGCAGGGAGCCCGATACGGGGCTCGATGCGGGGCTCGATCCCAGGACCCTGGGACCATGACCTGAGCCGAAGGCAGATGCCCAACGACTGAGCCACCCAGGCGCCCCTTTATTTGGAATTTTTATTGTGGATTGTAAATTTCTCAAAAGCACAGTCTATAACTTCCTTCCTTATACATAGAAAAACACTGAACGAATGTTTACTGTGTTGGATTAAAATCCATAAAACTCACTGTATAGTTTTCTGTTGCCTGAGTTTCGTATGAATTAGTTTTAATCGTCTTTAAATTTGATATAGACATAAATGCAATCCACACCACACTGATTTGAGCTCCCACTGATTCTGTCAGGAACCAGCACCCTCTGCTCTTCCCGAGTTTCTGTTTATTGCCTCAGGGGTCTGTAGAAACAAGGCCACCTCCATATGGTTCTGCTAGGCCTCCTCATTTCCCCCCTGAGCTGCTGCCTCTGCTCTTGCTGATACTGCCATTCTGCCATTCCAGACTTGGGGGAGGAAATGCTGTATTCGCTACCTTTTCAGTCCAGACTGAGACACAGAACTTTTTCTAATTACTCATTGCACAAAGAAGATGAGGGTATGCCTTTAAAAAAAAAAAACAAAACAGCAGAAGAGGAGGGAATGATACAATGGAAGGAAAACACAGAGAATATTTACAACTATTCTAGGCCCAGGCCCACTGGCTTCCAGCTTTATTTTCTTGGCTGCCACATGATCCGGGCAGTTCACCCCCACCACCAGAATTTCCACAGCTCACTATGGCTAAGAGTCCACATTGACCGCCAGCCCTAGAGAAAGACTAAATATTTGTTTCCTCACCCCACTGTAAGGCATCCTTTCCCCAGGCTTCATTTCCTCACTTCCCATGATTGATAACAGCAATATTAATTTCTTTTAAGGGACACTCAGGTCTCACCCCTAGTATGCCTGTGGCCCTGACTAGTCTATCACTCAAAGTTGGTTTGATTTGAGTTATTCTGATATCTGCAGAAACTTTGTTATATGAATACAAGACCTGATTATAGTCTGAGTATAGTGTATAGATTACATTTGGGATATGGCACATCACAATTGATTTCCAATAGCTGGTGAATTTTCTCAATGATACTCTAACATTGTCATTGTTGATTTTGTCAATTGCTGGTGACACTGGGATAGTGTCCATAACTTTCACAAATAACAATTTAAATTTTAAAATGTGGTGGTGAAGTCTTGATTTCAAGTGGTTTAAAGAGCTAGGAAGTGAGTATAGATGAAATTTTAAGATATTTTGTGGAGAAGGAAATAATTAGGTGTCAGGAATGGGGTTGGAACTTGAGGGAGTGTTAGGGACCAGGTTTTATGTGAAATAAAGAAATATGAAGGGAGAGGAGGGCAGAAAGGAGGAGGAGTGAAATGAAAGGGAGAAAGGAGAAGAGGAGAAAGAGAAGGAAAGAAGCAGCAAGAGATAAAAAGAAAAAGAGCTTTCCAGTAGAAAATATGATTATGCTGGTTGGTTCATAATTTTGTAATACTTTTTGATAATTTATTGTCAACATCAAACTGAGATGACCTTTAATAATATATTCTTTTATTTATTTTTTTAATTTTAATTTTTTTTAAAGATTTTATTTATTTGAGCGAGAGAGACCAGCTAGGCAGAGAGGCAGAGGGAGAGGGAGAAGCAGACTCCTCACTGAGCAAGGAGCCCAATGTGGGGCTAGATTCCAGGATCCTGAGATCATGACCTGAGCTGAAGGCAGAAACTTAACAGACTGAGCCACCAAGCCCCCCCCCCCGCTTTTTTATTTAAATACAATTAGCCAACATATACTATATCATTAGTTTCAGATGTAGTGTTTAATAATTTATCAGTTTCATATAAACCCAGTGCTCATCACATCACGAGCCCTCTTAAAAAGCCCATCACCCAATTACCCCATCCTCCCACCCACCTCCCCTCCAGCAACCCTCAGTTTGTTTCCTATAGTTAAGTCTCTCATTGTTTTTCTCCCTCTTTGATGACTTCCCATTCTGTTTTCCCTCCCTTCCCCTATGGTCCTCTGCCCTGTTTCTTATGTTCCACACATGAGTGAAACCTTATGATAATTGTCTTTCTCTGATTGACTTATTCTACTCAGCATAATAACCTCCAGTTCTATCCACATCAGTGTAAATAGTAAGTATTCATCCTTTCTGATGACTGAGTAATATTCCATTGTGTGTGTGTGTGTGTATATACATATATATATATATGTATATACACCACATCTTTATCCATTCATCTGTTGATGGACATCTCAGCTCTTTCCACAGTTTGGCTATTGTGGACATTGCTGCTATGAACATTGGGGTGCAGGTGCCCCTTTGGATCACTACATCTGTGTATCTTTGGGGTAAATACCTAGTAGTGAAATTGCTGGGTCGTAGGGTAGCTCTATTTTTAATTTCTTGAGGAACATCCATACCGTTTTTCTGAGTGGCTGTACCAGCTTGCATTCCCAGCAACAATGTAAGAGTGTTCCCCTTTCTCCACATCCTCACTTTGATAACATATTCTGATTTTAAACTACTGTAGTAGAAAGTTGTAAAACATTATTTTAAATCTTTTAAAAAATGGAACACTCCAAATTGTGCTCCATGGGACCGAGGCTAGTACAACAAGAAGTTGTCGAGCTCTTTGGCCTTGGAATTCAGTCATTAAGAGAGGAGCTGCCAACTCAGCTCTGCTTTACCAACAGGAGAGTGAGTTTGCTTCACTCTTCTCTGACCTCCAGCACAGAAGGCAGGCTGTCTGTAGCCTTTGTAAGATTAAGGAAGTTCTTCCCTTTGAGGGCAAGACCCCCATTTGCTATTTGACCTCTTCCTGGAATCCTAAGGTGATAGAATAGCCATTAACAAGAAAGCAAGTAATGAAGAGAAATTAAGGAACGCATTTTAATGAGGATTTTTATAGATGAATTCATAATGATTCTTGGTTGGCATACAGACTTTCTTGGTTCACTAAATGATCAATGCAATAAATTCTTTACATTCCCTCAAATTCTAGAATATTTTATATTTAGAAGTAAGTTCTTTCAACTTGAGTGATTCTCAAACATTTAATTTATATATATTTTTTGAGATCTTTGGAATATATCAATTACCATGAAGAATATAATTCATTTGTAAGATTAAACTGAAGTCGTGTGAACAACATCCTCGTATTATATGTGATGTAGAGTGTTCATGGATAAAAAGAGAAAGCTCAAGAATATGTCTTTGAAGAGAAATTATTTAGGAATTAAGGTAAAATATGAAGTTGGAAGTTTCCTTCTGTGTTTTCTTGTTCCGTGCTAGCAGAAAGCCCCTGGATTACAAAGACTACTTGTTCCTCTGTTGTAACTGCCACTGTGTCCTGCTAGTTTCATTCAGCAGAAGAGGGGGTTAAATGATTCTTGATTAATAGATCCTCATTTCTCTCCTTCCCACCTCTTTCAAGCTTTGGTATCATATAATTAATGTTAAATTTGTATCTATGCTATCTTAAATAGCTCAGATCTAAAAAGCCATAATTTAGTTGGTTAAATGTAAATACTGCTTCTCCCTGGCACCCACCCCAAATATGACTGTAAAATGCACAGTAAATATAGGAGAGGTATATTAATAGTAATTAATGGGTATGTTTTTATTTGACACTTCTGTGTTTTTCTAAAAAAAAGCAGCCATGTCTTTTTTTTCCCAAAGATTTTATTTATTTATTTGACAGAGGGAGAGAGAGAGCACAAGCAGAGGGAGCAGCAGAGGGAGAGGGAGAAGCAGGCTCTCTGCTGAGTTGGGAGCCTGATGCAGAGCTCAATCCCAGGACCCTGGGATCATGACCTGAGCCAAAGGAAGATGCTTAACTGACTGAGCCACCCAGACACCCCAAAGATTTTATTTTTTAAGTAATTTCTACACCCGATGGGGGGCTTGAACTCACAACCCTGAGATTAAGAGTCTCATGCTCCACCGACTGACCCAGCCAGGCACCCCAGCAGCCATATCTTTATAACAAAACTTTAAACATCATTTAAAATTATTTTGAAAGCTCATGGTAGATAAAGTATCTTCCCCAAATTTCCTGCCTCCAAAAGTTTATGTAATTCTGTGCGTAATGGGATTTGATATTTGCCAATGTGTTCTACTTAGTCACCTCCATGAACATTCTATCATTCAGCATGTGGCTGGAAAAACAGAAGCCTCCCTCCATCTTTGAGATGGAGGGAATTAATACAGGGAATTGATCACCCAGGTGATGGAAAACAGAGAAGCTAAACAAGGGTCAGTTAAGGCAACCCAGAGAAGCTCTAATCACTCTTAGTCTGAAGGGACAACAGATGAATATGTGGTTACCAGAAACCAGAAGCTGGACTGAGGGTGGAGCTAGGACCATAATGAGCAGTGATTGCTGGGGACAAGGGCTGGGGGTGCTACCAGCAAGAGCTGGAGCCATGGAGGAGACATGGGCACTGTCATTCCTTAGGGCACAAGAAGAGAAGAAATATCCTCAATTCTCCCTGCAAGGAGAACTGTTAGTCTTTTGAAGACTTCTTCTGTGTTTTGATACTGAGGACAGGAATTAGCCATACCTAAACTGAATTTTGTTCAATAGTGACAGTCTGCAAGGTCAGAGTCAGTAAATATAAAGATTAGTTCATAAGAGATCAGATAATATTTATCAATGTGGTAAAGCAAGGTTGTCTTTTTATCCTTTTTTTACATTATAATGTAAAATGTAATGATTTTGTGCAAATTCTGAAAGACTTTTATCTATGCCCTCCCACTTGTCACTCTGTAGTATAGAGAATAGAAAATTAATAATAGCTGTATTTATTTATACTTTCTATGTGCAAAACTTTGTTCTAAGAGATTTATGTATATTAATGCTCTTAATTCTCAAAACAATCTCATGAGGTAAGTAGTGATTAACCCATTTTATGGAAGAGGAAGTTGAAACACAGAGAGGTTAGCTAAGGGCACACTACTACATATAGATGACATAGTTATATTTTAGGGTACTAGAAGTGACCTTTGTAATCAGCTATGCTTTGTGATTATTTCCACAAAAAAGGTCCTCAGATAAAATTCTTCTAAAATGGAACACTGTTTTCTTGTAGACATTGCCCACACAACAGCACCTTAAACCAAGCCATCATCCTCTCTTACCCATAACACTATGGTGGATTCTGGACTCATCTTGTCCCTCTCATTCTTGTCCTCTTCAGTCTATATTCAGCAGGGCAGCCAGAATAACCTTTTAAAAACACACTTTCTCTTCTCAAAGTCCTCCAGGGGTTGTCCATTGTTAGATTAGTAACATTACTCAAAAATACTGTATAATGGGTCTTATTGGGCAGGCATAACCCAGTGAGTTTGAAGTGCTTTTGCTTTCCTGGTGTGACCAGGCAGCCATTTACCTACCCATCTCCACTTGAAAGGACATTGTCTTTACCTTTCTTCTACTCAGAGGCCATGGGCTAGCTCCGTACATGAGTCAGAAGAGTCATCCTGAAATTATCTTCACCTTCTACTTATAAGAAAAGCATTGATCCTTAAGCAGCAGAGTTTCAGAAAGTCTGGAAACTTGAATGTTAGACACAACTCATCCCT